GAAAACAACCTGAAGCTGTGCATCTTTATAAAACGCTAATTATGTCATTTCTGCCGCTAGGGGGTCTCTCATAACAAAACAACAACACAACACTGAAAGAATAGCCGTGTTTCCATCCAAATGTGTCGCAAATTTGAACCCAATTTGTGAGCAATTTGGCAAAAGAAGATGAATGATTGTTTTCATCGAAATATTAAGGGTCAGCGGTCGGCCGATATTTAGAGAGCACAGCCAACGATGGCCCGATACATAAAACACGGTTATCTTAGATGAGTGGTTTCATAAACACTAGGGGTCGCCAAAAGCTTAATGGGGGGGGGGTTGCAAGGCCTTCTTGATTTTAAGAAGGTTGTAAGAAAACGTAAAAATACACAGTAGTTCTATATCTCAACTTTTGGTTCAATTCTGTGAAGAACAGTAAATGTAAAGTAAATGGTCTAACAGAACAAGCATCAGGGACAACAAAAAACTCCGAAAACAAGCTTATTAAGTCTGTATGGTTGTTAAAAATGTAAAAGTTCCCTTAAACAGAAAATAATCTGCTCAAAATTCATCAGAATCTCTGGTTTCACACAAACTTCCTGCAGTTACTGAGTTCACTGTTTGGGTTCATTGTACAGTTTTGAATGTAATATAAAATATCCATAAAATATGTCACCTAAGCAGCAGAAAACATCCTGTTACCTGAATAAAACCACAGACTTCTCTGAACTTCTCTGGATAATAAGTACACAAATCACCTAAATATATAATTAATAATAATTTATAGTCATTTTTAGACTTTTGATCGCTCAAATGTTACATATTATATCTCTAAGGTTGTTATTTATTGCATAATATTGCAAAGTGGAAGTTGTGGCAGCGTACTTGAAACCGTTTTCACACAACCACAGTGAGTGCAGGCATTAGTCTTTATGACTCCAGCAGCTTTAATGGCAGTTCCCTGAAGACAACCGGAGGTAATTACAGAAGAAAGTAGTCTTCTGCAAAGCATCATAATCATCATGAATACATTATTTTACAGTATATAGAAGATCCCACAACATGTAAACTCCAGGGGTTTGCTGCAATGCATTAAAATATAGTAAATATAATACTTTTGTACTTAACGTGGACGTTTGAGCTTCACTGTGCACAGTTTGACACCAGAAAGCTGTTTTTACAAAAGGTTACACACGAGAACATCACAACCTGTTTGGAGGCCAATAGTGGCCCAATATGCAGCTTACACAATTGTGATGTGGACATCTGATGTCTCCAGTGCACAAACACTGAGAGTGCACCTGACAGTGAAGTTGGAGACGTCTTGCACCCAACTGTTTTAAAATGAAATATATTGCATATAATAAGGGAGAAGAAGCAGTTCTGCTTTTAAGACATTTGAACTAGTTTATATGACCTTTAAACATTAATATAGCAGAAAATTTGCTTTGTAAATATATAGTTGAGTGGCGGCGTCCTGAGCAGAGAATGTTTTTTTTCTCATCTTTCTCTCTGAATTAAGGATTTATTTCCACCAAACCAGAGATGGTGATTGTTGGAAAGACTAACAGAGACACTTTTAATGAGTTTAATTCTGTTTCTGTCCACTTTAATGAAGTTACGATGATCTGAAGGTAAAATGAGTGTTTTTGTCTCTGGAGTCTGGTGGAGAGTGATAGTGATATTACGGCTGTTTGTGGTTAAACTAAAGGTCTATCTCTGTAGGGATCCTTTCCATAATGCTGTCAGACACTGACAATAACAACCTGAGTCTGTCAGTGGAACAAACAACAACTACTGTTAGTGGAACAAACAACAACTACTGTTAGTGGAACAAACAACAACTACTGTTAGTGGATGCACTTTGATGGCCGCAAGGATTACACTGCAGCCGGTTTTAAGAATATTTTTACATTTAACTCTGTGAGTTAAGGATTTATTTTGACCAAACCAGAGTTGGTGATTGTTGGAAAAACTAACAAAGATGGTTTTATGAGTTTTATTTTGTTTTAATCCACTTTAAATTGTGTTTCACGATTAATTGCAAGGTAAAATTACAGTTTTTTTAAATGGAGTCTGATAGGCTGTAGTTTTGGTTCAACATTTAGTAGCAGTGAACACCAATTCAGCATCAATCCTGCACCACTATAAAATCAGCATACTCACAATGAACAGTTTAAAAAACAATAGAAAAAAGGATCAAAATCGGTGCAGCAGAACCAGATATATTGTGTTTTATATTCCACTTATTCTTCTTCCCTCAAAACCTGGTGCCTACATTACCCACAATGCAACACAACAAAACCGCTGCCCGTTCAGTTAGAGGTTTGGGTGTGTTCTTCTAGCAGCAGCTAACGTAGCCTCAAGCCACTAAATGACAAATTACTACGGTGCAACCTCACCGGTTTTTTTAATTTGTAGTCCTCAGCATCAACTGACACCGACTCAAGTGACATCACTAGAGGCAGTTTATCACATTGTGCCACAGAAAGAATTTATGCAACTTCTCTAACATATGCAGTAGTACTCCCTCGGACCTGTAAACAGACTTTGATGTGTAAAAAAAATAAAGCGGCGTTCCCTTGAACTCCCCGGATTATTCAGCGAGGGCCTCAGTTGGCCCTCAAGTGTGTAATGTTGTTTATTTGAGTTGTCAATAAAAAGCTCTATCAGGGGTTTTATTAAGATTCATGTAAGCATTTACTTGACCCCTCATTAAGGAGACCTTGTCCTGAAACCTAATAAAAGCCTTGGGATGCCTTGGAAATCCATTATGGATGCAAGCAATGTAAAACAGGATGCAGTGAGTGAAGCCAACCAGGGAGTGCACCACGCGCTCCTCACCTGCTCATTTCAATGCTTCACTCGAGTCTCAGCTTCTCCTCAGGATGTAAAAATGAGGAAGATATCCTATTATGATGGTGTCACAAATTCACCATTGAAGATTGTGATATCTTAAGCTGACACATTATCCACATTTCCCTGTTAGCGAGCATGATATTACTGATAGTATCAGAAACCTTGCGATCTTCTTCTTTCATCCTCAAATGTAGTCGCCTGTTTTTGGGCACAGCCTGGGATGACTAATCGGATTAAGAACGTAAGACCTTGTACAGGGTCCGATGGCATTTTAAGGATTAAGTACAGTGTTAGTGACTCCTGCCCTGTTTCTGAGGCGTATGGCAGGAGAATGGCACAGCCTACACAATCCTGCAGAGCGACACTTTTGAACGCCATACTGGGATATAAAAGGATTAACACAAAAAAAAGAAATTCCTCAACATCAGCTGCTAAAACAAGGTCATATATAAGCAACAGGGGGTTAGTGATTGAGCTGCAGAGCGCTCCGTAAACACCTGGATCTGTGGGTTAAAAATGTTTTCAGTCACAACAGCAGCACCGTCTTTAAACCCAGAGAAGATCCCAGGAGTCCCTATCTCTTTAAGAGATCACTTTCCACGAGTTTTTCTTGACAATACAGGACAGCGCCTCCCTACAAACACTCATATAGGCCGCAGTTCAGGGTAAACTGACAACATTAATATGGCCACAGCTTAACACAGTTAAAGTGTTCATTGCACGTACAGTTAACATCACTGTGCATCTATTTATCAACCACAGCAAAATGAAATGTGACCTTCTTCAGGCTGTGTGCGTACGCATGGAAGCTCATTTCCGCCAATGTGACGGTAAAATAAGGATTCTGTAAGTCGCTATAATGAGGAAGTTTCCCAAAATATTGACTTAAATGAGAAAGTTTCTCAATATTTTGACTATCTCAAAAATCTGACTTTGTGATAGTAACTGAGACAAATTCTCAATATTTTAAGATACTAAGTCATTATTTTGAGGAAGTTTCTCTTCATAAAGACTTCTTTTGTTTTTGTCACATTGGTGGAAATGGGCTTCCGTAGATATGAGAAAATTTTGCTCGCAGCTCTGGAAAAGATAGACTCGATGCTGAAAACATTCCCGCAGGTCAGTTCCACTTTGACAACCCTTCCCAGCTGTTTATCCGACCAACAGTCAGGTTTCAAACAACACACGCAGCCAGGCGATCTGAGGAAATACAAACACTTCCAGGACAACACCGATTATTTACAGGATATTTGGTCATTTTAATCCATTTCCAGGTGTTCCTACAGAAAGACTACACACTGTTCACTTTCCTACAAACATCTGCTGCACACCAGGAAACCGTCTGTAAAAGAGTGTGCAGCTTTAAGCCCGGATTCAGCGGTGAGTCAGGACTGTAAGCACTGACCGGCCAACCTGCGCTGACAATAAAGTCATTACAGTAAACCTGACAGGAATTCCCCATAGAGCCGTCTCTGATTTGCCTTGAGGGTGTGGAGGAGTACCTGATAGCAGGAACATGTAGTCTGCAAGCTCACACACACACACACACACACACACACACACACATGACGGGGCCACACCTTGCTGCAAATTCAAAAACAATTCCCAAAACTAAAAGTGCCTGATAGCCTCAAACGTCAGATAAAAGCCCTGAAAGCGAAGCCGAGCCGCAGACAAACTGCCTATGCAAATTCCACTCTTATCTGACATGCATACAGTACAGGGGTCCCATGTGGGGCCCTACAGGAGCCCTTGAAGGGGGGGGGGCTTCAAGGGACCTTCCAGCAAAATTGAGGATTCACTGAAGTTCACTGTAACTCCAACAAGTCAGTTCAGGGAGATCACGCACAGGAACGACTGGTATGCTCATTGAACACTTGGCTCTTTTCCATTTTTCCTCACCACCTAGAATGGGACACACACACACACACACACACACACACATCTGCAGACAGCGAGCAGGCTGAATATCGAGCTCAGTGCAACACATTAAAGTTTGTGAAGTCCAGCTGGGTGTTTACAGTTGTTTGTGTTTACACCCGACGCAGTCAACAACAACAACAGGAGTCGGCGGTAACTTGTGTTTCCCAGCTCCAGCCCTGTTTCCCTTCAGGTTGTTCCCTCGGCCAGCAAAACAACACGCAGACACATTTACTCACCCACTCCGTACTTCTCCTTCTTAGTGGGAATCCAACGGGTCATAGCTGGGGGAGGGAGGGGGGGGGGAGAGAGTGTATAAAGTCGGCTGAATAAATAAATAATAACTATGTACAATTTCTGAGCGAGGACGGGGCGGTGGACTCTCGTCCCGAAGTTTACAGTTCCGCCATCATGACTTGTAAACGGGGAGGGGAGAGGAGGGAGAGGCGTGAACCATGAGCCTCAACCCCCACAAACCACCGCACTACATCAAGCCTCTGTCTCCAGGAGCCTTCCCCGAAAGAGAGCCCCTTCCTCCCGCAGACATCAGTCCAGAACTGTAACAATTCCTCATAAATCCTCAAATGAACTCAGATTGAATCCAGGGAAAAGGGAAATGTAATGAGACTGAACTGTCCCTCGTTTTGCTTCAAGGACTCCTGATGGAGTCTCAGTTTCAGAACAGTTTCAGACAATCTGGAGGGGAATAATTAATAGACTTATAAATCACTTATGTGCCATAAATAAATGATCACCAGGTTATTGTTTTTAATTTAAAATGAGATTGAATTGCAAACTCCACGCCGCTGTGCTCGCTCTGACTCGGATTTTAAAGGACCCAGTGTGTGGAGGATTTAGTGGCATCTAGTGGTAAAGCGGCAGATTGCGCCCCCCCCTCGCTTCACCCTCCTCTTCACAGCGCAAAGGAGAAACAGAACAACAGATAAACTGTACAATGAACCCAAACAGTTCTTCCTGTGAATACTGATCAGAGACCAGTTTTAGGAATTCTTTGTATAATTTTTAACAATCATACATTCTTAATAAACTTCTTGTTGGGCAAATTCAGTGTTTTCTTCTCATTGTTCTGTTAGCTCTTTGGTTGTTTTAACATTTATTTGTATCAGAGAGTGAAGGCTCTGTGGATATAACTTTGTTCAGGTCTTCATCTTAAATAATAAGATAAACAATAAAAATGACAACTTCTTAAAACCAAGAGGGCCTCTGCAGCTATGGCGACCCACGGTGAACCAGTGGACTAGAGCTAATATAATCACATGTATACATCACATGAGGCTATATTTGAATTCCCTGTGCGGGCTATCTCATACAAGCTACACAATTCATTGTTTAGAAAAGCATATAGAGGGGCGAAGCAATCGTGTTGTCCATCAGTGAGGCAATTGGCTTCAATTTAAATGTCACTCCAACACGGCCGGTATATCACACCCTCCTTCCCCGCCCAGTACAGCCATTTACAGCTGCTGGCTAAGATCTGGTAGCCCACTTAGCCTTTTGTTTGCCCATTTTCTTTTTTTTCTGCCAAATGGTGCTGTCAATAATGTTCAGCCATCCAGCGCTTTTGTTGTTTCACTGTGACAGGGCGATGTCCATTTTGTTCAATCCATTGTGTGGCTGCTTTAAAACACAGCCTGTGGTGAATTAGTACCAACAGAACCCAGTCTGATTGAAAAGCTATTATTGAATCTTATTATGTTGCAAAGGACAAACTATTGAACATATGGCAACTACAAAACAGCCCTGTAAGAGGCTGTTTATCGGCCAGGACTATAATCAAGAACAGAAGATTTTAAAAAAATGATGCCTTCAGATAATAATATTTTTGAAATGCTCTGCCCCTTTTGCCACATAATACTAAAGTGAAGTTAGAATGAAGTAGAAACCTGTGAATTTTATTTTCTTCCTCACACAGCTGAACGATTCCAACACAATGACTGAGCTCATTCAGAAAAGCAGCTACTGGAGAAATATTTTGCAGCCATATGTAGAGTTTCCAAGGTTATGTATTGCATATGGTTATTGTGCTCTATTTTTCTGTCTGAGCTGTTGGTGCTTTGTAGCTGTAGTGTTTGAATTTATTGTAAAAAGCGGGCTTTAAATCTCCTCATGCCCTTTTCACCTCTGATTCTCCTCATTCTTTACCCAAAGTGTCTCACACCTCCTGGTGAAATGTGGAGAGTTGCTGCTGGGTGATCAAAAGTTAAAAACAATCTAATCTGCAAAAAGGAATACAATATTGCCATCCCCTGACTGCTTTGTGCTATTGCATACAGCAGACTGTTAGTCGCTGACAATGCTTAAGATTGGGCTGTTGTGGCATGGTCTTTTACTTATCTGCTTGCCTCTATTTTTCTCATCCCACACAGAACCTTTTAGTGCAATCATTAAATCCAGATGCCGGTGTCTTGGTGTGTGTGTGTGTGTGTGTGTGTGTGTGTGTGTGTGTGTGTGCATGTCTTGCATTAGTGCGTGTGACAGCTTGACGCGTTGAACTCTAGGGTTCATCCGGAGTTGAATGCTACATAAGCAATAGGAGTAGACAGGCTGAGTCTTTACGGGAGATCCCCACTGGCCTCATCATGTAATTTAAATCAGATTGTGTTATGTCTCAGACTTTCTATTTAAACCCCCTCGCTAGCTGCAACGTTTTAATAACGCTGGTAAACGCAACAAACACATGTGCAGATGCGTGCTGTGAACGGAAACAGGTGCACACATGGAACAGCTGAACATTGGATGACAGTGAAGACTGGTGTGGGCCGCACTTATTTTAGATAATAAAGAGATGAAGCTACTGTTTGTGTCCTGCAACTACAGTATCCCGCCTGTTTACTCTGCCTGAGGGCTTCTCTGTGTGTTGCCAAACAGGCACACTCGGCACACAATGAATGAACATTTAGCATGACAGACAGTTGAAAGAATAATACATATGCTCCCCATCTACCACCCACCTTCCAACACTCCAGCATTCAATCAGTGTTTGTGTGTGTGTGTGCATGCTTGAGTGCATGTGCCAGTGTGTGTTTTATTGTTATGGGATGCACAGAGACGAAGCACATTGAGCATCCATATGTATGAAATGTACCTTTCAAGTAAAGCTTGACCTGACTTGACTCCACTGTTATTCGGTGGCTGACATTACTAAAGGCAGTGAACTGTGATTTCTATGATGTGAGGAACTACAATGCTTCAGAGAATCCTGAGTGCTAAGGCCTCTAAACACCGGTTGAAGCCCCCACTGAGGTGTTCAATTCCTGAGACAAAAGCAGACAAAAGGCCTAATGGATTTATGGGTCCACTGCCAGGGCCATATGACGCCAGAGGCAAATTGGGCCTCAGCATCCACCTGGCTGTCTGGCAGCAGAATCAGGTAATAGCCCGGTCCTGCAGTGCTGTAGCAGATAGGTCAATGCACTATCTGTGCACAAGGGCTCAACACCCGGGGGCCGAATTTGATTTGCAGTTGACTTTTGGTGCAAGTATATCGAAACTTTTCTACTTTTACAGAATGTTCTATAAAAAGATGTTTCTTTAGCGCTTGCTGCATGATGTCAAATCCTGCACCATCGTCACTGTGTAATGATGCAAGCTCAAAGTCATCTACATGTAGTGGTGGAGGGGAGAAAAAATAATAAAGTGGCACCAGTGTGCCGAATCTTGTGATGCATTTATGGTTGCTTGGTTGGAATTTTACTACACTAAGTCCACTAGTAGGGCACTGTGAAGGGCTCTTTATGCCTATATGAATTCCTGTACATTGACTCTTTAATCTGTGCTATGTATATTGATGTTAGAATGACACAGTCTGACCAGATGAACTGTGTTATTTTGCACAGAAAGGTTTCACTTGCAGCACAATCTGAAGAAAGTCACACATGACAGCAGGAAATACATAGTGTTAACACATATGATCACAGAATCTTCTTCAGGTGAGTTAGGGTTAGCACATTTATATCCACAAGTCTAACATCTCATTTCCAGGTTGTGATGCATGAGGAAGGATGTGCCCTGAGGCTCGCCCATTTGTCTCCATCTGACTCAGTGAAGCATCCTTTGTACCCCTGTAGTGGGTACATAAGGCCATCTGAAAACTGTGGCTATGTGTGCACCAGGAGAAGCGAGTATCTATTTTTAGAACGAGAGCACCACATCTTTAAATGAAATAGTCTCTGTCTGCTGTCTTCCAGGCCAATGTGAAGGCTCATTCAGCAGTCTTTTAATTAGGTGGTTGTCTGAGATCAGCAGAGGGAGCCACAGCTCTTATCTAAGACTTCCTTTTCTTTGTGGAGACAAAGCGCGGCTACAGCAGGCTGCAGCTTGACCACCCTCGCTGTCTGGTCCAGGGGCCTGAGCCGTCTGAGGGGAGTAAGCACACCCACCTAATTAAAAAAAAACATAATCAGGACGACAAGTGCTTCTGTCAAGGTGAAAGTCTTTCCAAAGACTTATGCTTAAAGCACCATTTGAAAAATAGTTCCAAACAGCTCACAACGATTGTGGATTACATTGAGTAACCGGGTCATGATTTCTGGAAAGAGACATTGCTGTTGAGTTTTTAAAATACATTTTTGTTCCATCTGGTTCCACTGTATTGGAGAGAAGGCAAACATCTCTATGGTCAATAACTACACAAACTCAGCAAGTCACACCAAAACAGTCTATATGGATACATAGCACCACAGGGAAGAGAAACAATATGTACTTTTGATTCTGGGATGAACCGTCCCTTTAAATGTTATCATCTGGGCCTGAGAACAAACCCAAACGACCAGTGTTGCTACTCTGGTTTGCAGATTAAATTTCTGACATGTAGTCCAAAACAGTATATTACTGTATTCTGTTTCCTCCTGAAATGTAATATGCATTTGTTGTAATGGAAAGCTGATATTGTTTTCCTCGTGTAGACTTTGTTTCATGACTCTGGGAGCTGGCCAGACTTTACAAAGTCAGTGCTGTTAAATTCTACAAAGACATCTACGTTAATTGGCCGGTTTTTTTTCATTTCCATAATTTAGGTGTGGTGATTTTGTGAAGCCATTAAGAATAATGTGACTATCAAAAGTGTGTTATTGACTTTTGAGTCTGAATGTAGAAGCCAACACAGAAACTTTTCCATTGAACACAATCTTATCTATTTTGGGGTAACTGTACAGTACTGAAACTTACCTCTCTTACCTTTTCACAGGAAACTATAGCTGCTGCTGCTGCTGAAGGCTCCCACTGCACCTTCAGCTCTTTGTTTTTCATCAAAAGGATCGCACGTCTGGGGGGGGTTCCTCAGTGGGCTCAGTGATGGGCCTCCCTCCCTCTGACACAGTGTGTGCCCACAAGAGGCGGAGGGAGTTATAAGATTTATACACCCGTCCGTTCCCAGCCCAAATGTGACAGATGAAGCAGGGGATG